TCATTAAGCCCTTAAGTTGAATTTATAAGAAATTTTTATTATTTAACAAACATTACCAAATAACTGTATCAAGAATTTACACTTTATGGTTTCATATTGTGCCAATAAAATAGCATTTGTTTCAGCTTTTAGTAAATACGGGTTTTTTTAGAGGGGGGTGTTGTTTTTTGATAAAAGAACACCAGGTTAGAAAGTAAACAGGTTTAAGAAAACACATCTCTTTTCAACATGGGATTCTGGTTTTAAAGAAAAAAAAAAGATACCACATATGTTAGTAACTTTATTCTTAGAAATATACAGTCATATGTCACTTAACAACAGACATACATTCTAAGAAATGCATCATTGTGCAAACTTCATAGAGTGTCCTTACACACATCTAGATGGTGTAGCCTATTACACACCTAGGCTCTACAGTTTAGCGTATTATTCCTATGCTACAAACCTGTACAGCATGTGACTGTACCGAATAGTGTAGGCAATTACAACACAATGGTAAGTATTTGTATATCTAATTATATCTAAACATAGAAAAGGTACAGTAAAAATATGGTATTATAATCTTATGGGACCACAGTTGTGTATGTGGTCCATCATTCACCCAAAGGTCGTTATGCAGCACATGACTAAAATTAGGGCATTTCTTAGTTTTTCACAATCAAATGAAAGCTGGTTTCTGCTGAGGCCTCTCTCCTAATGACCAGAAATTTTCTTAACAATTTGAAATTTTCCTGGTAAAGAAGAAATATTTTAGTATTAGTAGAAAGCAATGTTTCTTAAAAGCATTCTTTGTTTAAAATTATGCTAACCAGAAATTTAGAAGTTTGGGGGACAGTGTTACTGAAAGAACTCTTTGACTCCCTGATAGCTCTTCTTCAATATCAATAACACAGGAATGATTGTGGTTCATGCATTTTATAGGCTGAATTGCATTTCCCACAAATTCACATGTCAAAGCCCTACCCCTCTATATAACTTTTTGGAGACAGGGCCTTTAAGGAAATAATTAAGGTTAAATGAGGTCAGAAGGGTTGGACCCTAATCCAATAGGACTGGTGTCCTTATGAGAAGAGGAAGAGACCGGGGTACGCACAGAAAGAGTAAAAGGCCACTGAAGACACAGTGAGAAGGTGACAGTCTGCAAGCCAGGAGAGAGGCCTCAGCAGAAACCAGCCTTCAGAACTTGAGACAATACATTTCTACACTGTAAGTCACCCAGTCTATAGCTACACTGTAATTCTGCCACGGCAGCCTGAGCAGACTAATAGAATGCACTTTTTAAAAACTACAATCTTCCTCCCCTAAAAAACCTACAGTTGTGTAATAAACACTGAAATCTTCATATACTGAGAACCCACCTGATTGTTTTTCACTAAACGTCACCATTGCTGTAGCCATATTTGCACCCTGTAATGTTCAAGACCCATATTATATACAAATAGTTTCTGCACATAAAAGTTTGGTTCTTTTAAAATTCCTCTACTTTCCTTAGTTATAATCTCTGTATTAGCTGGTTCAGCCTGCTACAACAAAATACCATAGACTGGGTAGCTGAAACAACAGACATACTTCCTCAAAGTTCTGGAGGCTGAAGTCCCAGATCAAGGCAGGAGCCAATTCAGTTTCTGATGAGGACGCTCTTCCTGGCTTGCAGATGACTGCCTTCTTGCTGTGTCCTCACGTGGCCTTTCCTGGTGCCTGTGCATGAAGAGACAGCAGGCTCTCTGATGTCTCTTCCCAACAGGACACTATTTCTTTCAGATCAGGGACCCACCCATACGGCCTCATTTAACCTTAATTACTTCCCTCAAGGCCCTCCTCTTCAAATACAGCCTCACTGCGGGTTAGGGCTTCAACATATGAACTAGGAGGGGACACAGACAGTAACAATCTCCAAATGCAACAACCTGCTTTCCTCGGCTGTAATGTAATAAAATGTTAACACTCCCAAACAACAGCAAAACAGAGACACAACAAAAATCTGTTAAGTGTATAAACAATGGCAATGCAATGCTTCCTTTTAAAAAATGGTTCATTGAGCCGGGTGTGGTGGCTCACACCTGTAATCCCAGCACTTTGGGAGGCCCAGGCAGGCAGATCACCTGAGGTTGGGAGTTCGAGACCAGCCTGACCAACATGGTGAATCCCCATTTCTACTAAAAATACAAAGAAAAATATTAGCCGGGTGTAGTGGCAGGCACCTGTAATCCCAGCTACTTGAGAAGCTGAGGCAGGAGAATCGCTTGAACCCGGGAGGCAGAGGTTGCAGTGAGCAGAGATGGAGCCATTGCACTCCAGTCTTGGTGACAGAGTGAGACTCCATCTCAAAAAAAAAAAAAAAATTCATTCTAGTAACAAGTAAATGCCATGCAATACCATTCAAGTACTACATGAGACTTAGAGAAAACCCAATTCCAGCTATAGGAATGACTGTGAGGAGTTGGAGGGCCTGAATGGATGCCTGGGAGACCGGCAGGACACAAGGAAAGCCGAGTCCTCAGTCACCCGGAAACTGCCAGGTAATCTGGGAACAGACGGGGTGCCACTGGGTGATCTTCCAGGAAAATAATAATTCAAATACAGAACGCCCAAGTGAGAGATATGAAAACTGCTTCCCTTTTGATTTGGCTAACATATGGCCACACAGTAGTCTCAGCTATGATCTGTGCTTTCCTACATTCCTCGAAAAATCGACTGCAGACGATTCCACCAGCACATCTAAAAGGTAGGTGTCTTAAAAGGGAGCCACAAAATGAACATTCCCAGTTGGAATCTACTTCCAAGCCAACATTCTAAAGGAAAAGACTTTTTAGGTTTAATCAAAATAATACAAGTAAGAGCTTCTAAAGTAAATGTAAATGTAGAAGTATTATAGATCTACTTTTGGTATTCTTGTGGTTGCTCTAATCTCTCCCCTTCTATTACAACCTCAACTGCCAAAAGAATCTTCCCAGAACTCCATTACTCCACTATTAAAAGTAATCATTCACCTAACTAGCATTTGAGCACCTATCTCCATAATCAAAGCCCACCATGTCCAACCTCATCTTTAATAGAAAACACAACACTCACCCCACGTTCCAGGCTCACCCTGCTCCCTGCCTGCTGAGCTCTTCTTCTGCCTCCTCTCCTCTCGCCACCCCAATTTCCACGGTTTGTGTGTCACCTCCTTCAGGAAGCCTTCTCTGATGACATCACACACAGATTTTTCCTTCAGTCAACAACTTCACATTAAGAACCTACTATGTTCTTAATGTAAGAGGCCCTTATTTGAGAGCCCCTTCCTCTCAAATTTTTTCGGTTCACTGTTGTCTGTGACTTATACTTAATATGGTCTTCTTACTGTCCTATTCTACTAAAATGCTACCTTATTATTATTATTATTATTATTATTATTTGAGATGGAGTCTCGCTGTTGCCCAGGCTGGAGCGCAGTGGTGTGATCTCAACTCACTGCAACCTCCGCCTCCTGGGTTCAAGTGATTCTCCTGCCTCAGCCTCTCTAGCAGCTGGGACTACAGGCACATGCCACCACACCCAGCTAATTTTTGTATTTTTAGTAAAGACGGGGTTTCGCCATGTTGGCCAGTCTGGTCTCGAACTCCTGACCTCAAGTGACCCACCTGCCTCGGTCTCCCAAAGTGCTGGGATTACACGCGTGAGCCACCTTTTTATATCCATGGGAAAAAGTTCTTAAATGTTTAATTTCCTAATTGATTCTTGCACGCAATCTTAACTGTAGTAGGTGGTTACCTTTAGGAACCCAAACTTACCCATCTTTTATACCCCCATCCATAGCACAGGGCAAAGGGAGAAACACCTGGGTATTAATTGGTGTTAAATATGTTTTTCCTTTGTAAATCTCGTGATTTATGCTTTTGTGTCTTTCTTGGAGGAATACAAAGTAAGAGAAAAGAGCTTAATACTTGAAAAATGTTTCAGCTGCCTGACATTGTCTTTCGCTACAATTGGTTAAACAAACGTTTATAGAGTTCCTACTACACACAGAGACAGGCATAAACAGTCTATTATGATAAGGCCTTGATCACGGTTGTATCTCCAGCACCGGCCATCATTGTCTATTGCACATAATTAACACCCAATACATATGTGTAGAGTGAAAAAAATGAATGCAGCCTCCCTGACTGCAAGCAGCTGACATCTTAATGGTATGGGGGTGAAGGAGATATAAAGGATGAACAAATAAATAAGGAATGTCATATCAGTGTAATAATCGCTATGGAGAAAATAAAGCAGGATCAAGAATACCACCAAGAGCCAGGCAGTTCTTGGCAGACCTGGAGACTCCCATCAGCGGGCGAAGCTGCCCAGCGTAGTGGCTAGCTGCTAAGAGGGCAGCTCGTGGGGAGGGTGCACAGCCCCGCCGCTCATTCGCTGTGTGGCTCTGGACGAATGGTTTCACCTCTCTGGCCTCGACTTTCCCATTCCCTAAAACCTACTTCATGAGGGGGAGTCTCAGGAGTTGGTGCTAAAGTGTCCGTCAACCAGGCGGGCGCCGGGGAAACGCCGGCAGCGCCGCGGGTCGGGAACTCACCGGCGCAAAGAGCACGGAAAGCCTCGGGCTCCCTCTGCCGAGGTCCGCGCCTCCCTGCCCGGGGTCGAGCAAAGTTTTGACCTTCAATGGAGGTCTAGGGGACCAAGGGCCGGCGCCCCTCTGTCTGCGAGGGCTGGCGGATACCGCGCAGGCCGGCAAGGGCGCGGGGCCGCGGTGGGCGGCGCTTCCCGGGCGCCTCCGTCAGGCCAGAGGCCTCGAGGGCTCGGCCAGTTGCCCCGGGCGCCCTGCGCGGGCGGCTGGGCACAGGCCGGGCACTGCCCCGGCGCCCAGCCTCTCGGAGGAGGCCGCTGCACAGCCAGAGCGAGAGGCGCTCCCGCGGCCCGCCGGCCCCCAGCCCTAACGGCAGCCCGCGGGGAGCAACGCCGTCCCAGGGCGCGAGGCCGCGGCGGGCGCGCGAGGCGCGGGGCGGGGCAGGTCGGGCACATGCGCACAGGCAGCGCGGCCGGCACGCGGCGCTCGCGCTCCCTGCTTAAATGAGCCTGGGCGCCCCGCGCCCGCCACTTCAGTGGATCCCGCACCGGGGCCGCGGGCGGAGCTGCCAGCCAGTCCCGCGCCGCGCGCCCGCACTCCTCGGCCCTCGGGCGGTCGATGGGACGGGGCGCCGCGGAGCAGGAGGCGGCGCCCGTCGGGGGGCTCGGGCCGCGCGGGAGCCCACCGGGGGGCTCGGGCATGGCGGGCCGCAGGACCTGAGCCCTGCCCCGCGGGGAGGCAGCTGCTGGCCGGCGATGGGGACAGAGCGGGGCCACCGCCGCCGCGCCGGGCCGTGAGCGCTGCGCCGCCGCCGCCGCCACCTCAGCCCCTCGCGAAGCGCCGGGCAGCTCGGGAACATGGCCCTGGAGCGGCTCTGCTCGGTCCTCAAAGGTAAGGACCGGCGCTGGGGCCGCGGACGGCGCCCCCTGCGGGCCGAGGCTAGCGCGCCGCCCTGCCCGCGCCTCTGCGTCCCTTATACGCGCCTGGGACCCGACGCGCCTCTTTGTCTGGCGGGGCTCGCGGCTACTCTGAGCGGACCGCGGGGCGCGCGCCCTGCCCGGCTCCACCGGCTCTCCGGTCGCGCCGCCTCCGACCCTTGCGAGTCTGGCCGACGTTCGCGGGCGCGAGTGGGAAGGGGGATCGGGTCGGGAAGGCGGCCAGGAGGCCCATGGGCCCAGGGGGGCCCTCCGAGCGGCGCCCTGGCGCTGCTTCGGTAGAATTCCGCGCATCCGTTTGCAAAGTTGTGAGATTCCTGTCGTGGAGCGAAGGCCGCTCTTTCTCCAGATGTGATGGCAAGAAGTAATTCCACGCGAACAATAAAAGCTGCGGCCGTGACGTCGTGCAGCCGTTTTCGAAGAGCTCCGCGGCGCCTGCACCTCGCGGCGGGGAACGGGGCCTGCCGGGCCGGCCGGGTCCCACCTGCTGCGGCCGCGGAGGCTGCGGCACCACTGCGGGCTCCGGGGGCGGCGCGCGGGCGCAGCGGACCCGGCTCGGCCAGGCCCCCGGGGAGCGCTGCTGCTCGGGCTGAGCCCGGGCGCTTCCCGGGACACGGCGCTCCCCGGAACCGCGCTCCTCGCGCTCCCCAGAGGTCTCAGAATTCCCCGCCGCTAGTGTTCGGTTCTTATTAATTTGTTGTACCGGGAATTAAAACAGTTGGCTTGCCAAGAGCACAGAGCTCTAAAACACACTCCACCCGCTTTGCATTTTCCAGGAGGCGGTAATTTAGATGAAAATTTATATACATAGATAATTAGGGATGGGATACAAAGTTGCTCCTGAAACTCGGACTGAATAAATCGTCTTTTCAATTTTCAGAGGAAAAACAGCACCACCACTCAGTAAAGGACTTCCCTTTTCCCCCCTGCTGATTTAAATTGAAAGTTGACATGTTTGTAATGTTCTTTTTTGACATGTTCTTTTTTAAAACTATGGAGAGTACAGCTGAGGCGTTATTGACGGTGGCATGTGTAACTCAGCACTGTATCTTAATATCTGTAGAGTGACAGATCATGGTGTTTTTCCTGCTCCCTAACAACACTTTTTTCAAATTTGTTTTATTAGAAAGTTCAGTATAATTTTGCTTTTGATTTTAATCGGACATATTGTCTACTCTCCAGTTATTCCTGAATTCGTAATTGAGATTCAGTAATTTAATTCCTGAAAAAGGAATGTTTTGTTTTACTCTTTCGTGATAAATCGTATGCACGCTAGGATTTCTGATCGTGCTGCTTATCTGAATTTTCTGCCGTTGTCGGATGGCGCCCTCTCTACGGTAAGGTTGTCAGCATGTTACTGACCGTGCATCCGAGAGCAGCCCCCGGATGAAGTCGCGTAGATCTGTCACACCACTTTACCTGCAGAACTTGCTAAAATCGAGCTGGATAGGGTAGAGGCTGGTAGAGCCTCCTCCAATGGTGAGATTTGCACCGTTTCTGCCTTCGCCTTTGCCGTGGGTGCACACTGCCCTCTGTGGCCGTCGTGGTGAAGCGTTGAGTGTTGCACCTTTCAGGAAAGGATTCTGATGATGGCAGAGCTACGGTGAAAACAATATAGTGTCTGGCTTTTCTTTTTTCAGTGTTAGTCAGCCTACACTATTTTTACATGCTGGAGTATTTTTAAAGCTCAAGCTGAATTATTGTTGTTGTTGTTGCTGCTGCTGGTGGCGGCTTTCTAGAGAGAAAGCAAGCTATTTTTAAAGTCTTCTGTGGTATTAACTTATAAATGCCAAGAACTCGTCTGGAAAGATTCAAGAAATTGTTAACAGTAGTTGATTCTAATACAGAAATCTAGGGGATTGAAAGGCAAGAATGAAGGGAAGACTGGTTTCACTGCACACCCATTTGTATCACTTGATTTTTTTTTTTAACCAAACACATGTATAACCTATTTAAAAATCAATATTTTGATTTTTAAAAATTGCCTTTTAAAAAGATACTGGGGCTTTCCCATTACTAACTACTCATTGTGTGCCCCAAGGCATGAAGAAGTTTTCCTTTTATCCTATAAAGTGAATTGCTTCAACATCAAAGAGGTGCTTATCTGAAGCAGCTATTTAACATTTACATAATTGTAGATATTACCCACGGACGCCTTGTTTGGAATATTATGGTCAGTTTCTACTAAAATAAATCAGCCATAATGAGTGTGTGAGATTTTAAGTAGAAAATAATTTTAGTTCTTTAAGATGCCACTGATTATTCTTGTTTTACTTTCAGCCGTTAAGACAAAAGAATAACCTTACTAGGCTTTTAAACGTTTCCTATGTTGTGGAAACTAAATAATTCACTTTTAACTGTTTGTGATCACTCTAGGCCTCACAGAATTTGAGTTAACCTGTCAAGGTTAACTAAGCATTATAGTCCCATGAAAATATTACATGAGGATTATAAATCCATTTTTGTTCTTATTCTGCACACTTGCTTCAAGAGAATCTATTCAACTCAGCGATCTTTAAAGCTGTAGAAACTGGTTAAATTTGTGTTGTAACAGAGCAAAAATATTCCTTGGCACTGTATTTAAAAATCTTGTCTGAGACGGTACAAGTATTAACTCCTGTTTTTCATTCTTACATCTCACCCAAGAACATAAACTAGTTATACAGAAATAAGTGTGGTACTGAAAAACTTGTCCTTTAATACTAAAGCCTTGTTAAAAATCAACTTTTTGACTTTTCCTTCCAGGGTTTGGGAAGAACTGTTTTAACACTGTTAATTGAAAACTCTTATTAAATAATGGTTTTGTTGTAGTAAATCCTCAACTGCAATCTGGTTTATCTTTCATTTTGAAATTACAATCACTGTTTAGGAAAAACCCTGCATGACAAAACAAGTTGAAATCAAAGCCACTTTCAGTCCTTTTTAGAAAAGATAGAAAAATGATAGACTATAAATAAAGTTCATATCTGAAATTTTAAAACGATAGACTACCTCCTTCTCTTGGAGTACCACCCATCCAGCATGATCTCCTATCATTTTTCAACTTACGCTTCTATAGAATAATTATTGATACTTAGAAATACATCTGCTTGAGGCACTGGAGATTCAAATTACTATGATCTTTGAATTGGAAAGGAGCATCTTAAGAGGTCTAATCCAGTGGTTTCCAAACTTCAAAGGAACTCTTGTGAGGAAGCACTAAAAAAAAAAAAAAAAAGGACAACAGAAAAGAACAGAGTTGCTGTGATTGGTGGGAGGCCTTGCCCTCTCAATCACCTCCAACACCAGGGTGGCACCAAGAACTGACACTTCAACGTGTTTGTTATATTGCTTCCAAAATCACAGGGTATCGTAATCTGAAAGTTCAGTCCTTTCTAATGAAAATGACGTTAAGACATGTTGGTTTAAATATGCCTGGAGTAACATTGGAAATTACAGTACTAGAAGATACCAAGTAGTCTTTCAAATATGACCTGATCATGTTAGAAGGTGATGGTAGTCACTGTGCAGTCAGGAGGACTGATGTGTAATTAAAATAGAGCTTACAAAAGTGCCATCTCAGATCAGCTCCACTAAGGAGGAGTTTGTCACATTCTGCAGGAAAGAGAAAGCACTTCTGCTACAGAGTTACTCTTTCTTACTAAAGTGATTGGCATGTGATTAGCATATGTAGGCTGGAGTAATCCCAAAGTTCACCATCCATCTTTGTTCTTAACTAGTAAAGTATGATTGAGTTTGATTAAATTTGGGTACTTTTTCTGTTCTTTGGAACATAGTTTATCAAAAACAAGTGACTGCCATGTCAAATAGTATGTGGACTCTAATTGAACTCTGTTCTGCTGTCATTATAGGAAATGGCAATGAGCAGAGAGACCAGGTAGGTGGTTCTAGCATCTTGTGTTGGATATTAAAAGCCTTATGTTTACCACTGAGTTGCTTAACACAGGAAGACGTAGAAAGAGACACATTTAATTACTAGCAAAGGTAAATTGAGCCACCTTGAAAATAACAGTGGTGGCAGGGTATCTCAGGAGGGTGGGGGGGAATCTCAATTCTTTTCCCATTCCCACATTTTAAAATTTTTTGTGCTTACATTTTAAAAAGCGAGGTCACATGTGTGGCTACTGTTTGTTCATCCAAAATGTGTGCCTGTCAGTTACTGTGCTATGTGTTGCGGATACAAAGAAGATACACTGGAGTCACTCTCAGTCACCCCCATGTGTTCATCGTGTCTGTATTGAGTACTGTTGAGGCCAGACAGTCTTTTAGGCTGTGGAGATGCATCAGTGAATCAGACAGACAAGGCCCTTCTTTCTAGTAAGAAGAAACAGATAACAAACAAGCCTCAAAATACCAGGTAATATAATAGTGAAATAAAGCAAAACGAAGGAGAAAATGTAGCGCTTATTTAGAAATTGGGAAAGCCTCACAAGACCTGAACAACAGGAAGGAATCAGCCAAGGAGATTCTAGGCCGAAGGCACAGCTGGTCCCTGAGGCAAGAATTAGCTTGATGTGTTTTAAGTGATGGGAAGAAGGCTTGTGTTCTGGTAGAGAGTACTCGGAAGGCCAGAGAGACACACAGGCTCCAGGTCACACAGGACCTCCAAAGTCAGAGTAAGGGGCATGGATTTGTTCTAACTATAATGGGACTCTACTGGAAGATTTTAAGCAAGGCTGTGATGTGATCTGATTTGTATTTTGAAAAGATCACTGCCTGCTGTGTATATAGTACACTATAGGGACTGTGGCAGAAACTTCCAGTTGTCTGCAAATATCCGTTTAATTCTGTCAGTAATTCTCTGAATTTAACTGAGTGCATAGTTCCCCAAAATGAAGACTATTTCCCAGTTTCCTGTTGGTTTAGGTGACCATGTGACTAAGTCTAGCCAGTTAGATGTAAGTAAAAAATGATGTGTGCAACTTAGGGGAATTGTTATTTTTGTTGTTTAAACTT